TCTGCCCTCTGATAAAACAGTGCTTTTTCTCCATGTACCTTTTCTCATCTGAGGACTATGGTACTTCTAGATTCTGTTCCTTCCAACATAAAATTACTCCCCCTTGGCCCTAGAATTACCATTCCTCCAATTTCAGGACAACGTACTGAAGGAGGAGCTGGGAACAAAAAGAACTCACTCTCTCAAGTGTGCATACTCCCACAGTCTGGTGCCTAATCTGGGGCATGGAAAGCACAGGAGGAAACGTCAGGGAGACTGAGAGCTCACAGCCCCTCACCGCAGGCTCACGTCTGGAGGCGAGATGCTGGTGTAAGTGCGTTTCCTTCTCTGCTCTTCCCTCTCCCATCTCCCCGATCCACAACGTCAACTGCCCAAGTGACCTCTAGAACGCAGTGGGAGGGGCTCCCTCTGCTTATCCAGGGCGCAGCTTTCCGTTTGACCGTTTCCTGAGAGCAGCACAAGCTCCCTAAGAGGCGCTCAGCGCTCCCCTTCTCCGTTCAGGGTGTGGCCTCAAGTCCCCGGGGGCTTGCGAGAGCCTGTAGGGGCACGTGACCTCCTCAGACATATGTACGTGGTGTAAACCTGAGGGTCAGCTGGAGGCTCTACGAACATTCTAAAAAACGTTCAAAATCTTTCTGCCACCTGAAAAGAGACCCTGTTCTAACAGGAATGAATCTCCTCCTCTGTTAAAGTTATTACTAAATGTAGGGCTGAGTACACAACAAAGCGCACAAGAAACTTGTTCTACGTAATACTCACGTACCGTGCATAAACGAAAGCATGTTGCATTTTTATCATTTTATTCCAAAGTGTTAAAAGAAAAAAGTATGGTTTGGGTCTTTGGAAAGAAACATTTTAATACCCAGAGAGGGATACATTATACTGTAGTCAATAGTTGTTGACATTTGGACATCTTCATAATTCAAAAAAAAATCCCCAGAAGGGACACCAGAAAAGAAGCAAACAGTTGCATCAAAACAATACATCGTTGACTTCTCACATCACATAGCAGGTTCTGTAAACAAACCAACAGTTCATTCTCCAGTGTGAAGCATTTCCAAACAATGGTAAATGCTGGGATACAGAAGCCACCTCTGGCCAGTGCTTTACCCACCACTGAAACACAGGTGTCGCCCTGATCTCCACTCACGCTTCTCTGCAGAGCACAAGCAGACGCGTACACGGGCTTTCCCATTACAGTAACCCTTACTGTCTCCTGCGTACTAATGACTCGTAAGTACACATATTTACTTTCTGAGCACTAGGTGTAAAATCTCAAATTCTCATAGACACCTGTCTCCATGCCCCAAAGGTTCTCAACTGCTATGTGAGGAAATAGTCAACCTTTATTTCAACTGGAGACACCTTTTTTTACAAAGTTTGACCGTCTCTGATGGTCTGCTTTAAAAATACACAATTTGGTGTCTTGCGAGTCTTTAATACAACAGTATTTGCAAGCAGGATGACAACTGATTAAAGTAATGTATTTCCACTGTCCTATCTGCTGAAGTGACATT